ACCGCACCATAGATCTACCAAACAAGTAGGGCAGAGGGAAAAAGATAGGGTTGATAAGAACAACGAAAAATGGAGTGAACGCACCCAGTCAGATTTGACCGTAAAGTTGCAGTGCTGCCAGCATGAGCTGTGTTATTGGTAAAGTCACTTTGTAGACTGAAGGTACAAGTCCAGACTAGGGTTATGCCAACAGGAAAATGGTAGGAAGCGAGTTACAAAGCATAAGAAGTAGCCAAAGTCATAACCACACCAACAAGGTCAATGTATCCAGTCAGTATGGGCAGAGTATTTGAAGAGGGAGGCCAAGCTAGCTTGGCCTTTGGAAACAATGGCTGCTAGCCAACCTGAACCTGTCTGCTGTTGTCAACAAGTGCCAGATGTGGAACCTGTCTGCACTTGGTGACCTGGAGAGACAGAAGGGGGGATGAATTGATCTTCAAATTGGGTGTCCCTTCAAACAAACCAGACAGACACGTGGTGCCCAGTTATCCCAACACTGTCTATATTGGTTAGACACGTGTTAAATCCAAACAGCCCTGGTTAGACAATAAAACAATAATACACACACAATAAACATGTAATCCACAAGACACAACATATCCACAGGAGGTACTGTGACTAACACAACACAAACAGTAGCACAAATATCCAAAATGGCAATCAAATGCTGTCTTCTGTTAAAGCGATACTACACAGGCCGGGAGGACATCATGGTCAGTGCAGGCCCGAGGCAAGTTTTAGGCTGGAGCGAGATCCTATTATGGTGCCCTCCTTGGTTTCCCTTAATTTATACCAGTGATGCATGCAAGCAAGTAACTTGGAAGATCTCGACAACATCTTAATTAAGTATCTGTCTAATTTGTTGATTGAAAACAGCCATACTCGTTGGCACTGCACTCCTCACGGTACCAATAGGAAAAGTTTATATAGAATGAAAAAAATATTTGTAAAATTAAGGTACATTTATTTATCACAAATATTACTTTTATAATGAGATTGTGAGGTTCTGGACAGGTCCGAACATCACTAAAAATTCGCGTAAAAATCACTTATTTTTAAAGGCAAAATTATCTTTTTTTTTAGAAAAAAATAGAAGTTGGAAATAGTTTTCTTTCTGAAAACGACGCGAACTTTTAAACAATAGAACAATGGAAAATCGAAGATGGACTATCTCTGGTTGGAGATTGAATTAAACTTCGATTTTGACCTCTCTTGCGCTACCGAAAGGTTTTGGAATTGTCATCAGGTGATAAGGAGAGACCAATCGGAAAGTAGAATCGGGGGGAAAATGGATAAAAAATCTAATGTAATGTGTGTGTGTGTCTCAAACCTATCTTCGTCTTCATCTTCCGACCTCGGATCGACATCTTTCCATCAATGGAAGTCGACCGCATCGTTCGGAGTCATAGAGACGTCGATGGAATTGGTCATTCATGAACCAAGGACACTCATTCCCAATGGGACAATCTTGGAAAGGAGAGGAAGACCCCAAGGTTGCAGCTGAAGTAGAACTTCCAAGATTGCGGAAATCTTGTAAGCTTTTTTCGTGTTTAATAAACGGGTTGTATTGTAAACAAGGCATCAATCTCTGACTCAACTGCTTCCACATGTCGTTGATTGTTACCACCTGGCAATCCAAACGGCAAGGAGACGATGACGATAAATATCACATATTATCATCAATATATCGTTTTTAAATTTCTTTCCCCCTTGGTCCCCACAAGATCAGTCATTTTAAAAATTATTTTACTAACTAGTAAAAGAAAATTCAGTCAACATTCATTGATAAGATCAATAAGCATAATTAACTTTGGTTCTGGTACTTATTTATTATGTTCACTAATTAATGTATCAATAATACTTATAAAATTCTTAATTATTTAGGCTACAGGCTCCTAATAATAACAACAATAATAAACTATTTAAATCACCTGGAGAACAAATTTTAATTAAATAGCTGCTTATGTATTTTTGCATTTGCAAATTTTTTTATGATCTCCTCATACAATAATGTCTGAGTTATATCATTTTCAATGGACAGCAAGGCTAGATCAGAAAGCTTGTCTTCTGCAAGAGTCAACCTAAGGTACGTTTTAATTCGCTTAAGCTTGCTAAAACTCCGTTCACCTTTGGCCAGAGCTGTAACTAGCCATTCCTGTGCCCTGTGCAAGAATTTGCATTTAGGCCCCTTAATTTATTTGGTTTGGGAAAATAATAAAACAAATATATTACAATAGACTTTTAATAAGATTTATTTTAATTGAACTTTTCTGGCTTTCATTTCAGCAAATTCATTAACTACATGATCATAATTAATATTTTTAATGATAATGTATTCTATTGAAATAATAGAAATATTGGACAATCGTTCTTGCTCGATAGTTAATCTTAATAAATTTTTTATTAATTTTAACTGGCTAAAACTTCTCTCGCACGAAGCAATAGAAACGGGAAGAGTTAGAAATATTCGAAGAGCGACATTGATATTTGGGTAAGACTCAATTAAACCAAAATCATGAAGAGCCTGTAGAATATTAAGCGGAGATTGCAGTTTCTATATTTTGTATAAGAGTCGTTACTTCAAAATTAAAACTTTCAATTTCACTTGTGAATTCGTACTTTTTTAAATCTTTGCTATATTTAATAGTGGGATCTGCAGCTGATTTTTTTTTAAATCAGCAACATTCGTATATTGTAAAGAAGAGCCATAGAGAAAGCAAAAATTAGCCTTTTTTCAGTAGCATTTTAAAGATTTCGGGGGTCCCTTCGAGGCCCTACTCGGCCGCATAGTTCGCTTACCACCGTTGAGGTATACAACACATATGCGTACCACTATAAAGCAAAACGTTATGTCAGAATTTCTGCACGCCTTTTACAACCTCGAGACTAAAATTTTATTCGAGAGTTACCACGTTTTCTATTTAGCAATTTAGCAATTAAAAAAATCCCCGGGAAGATTTATTTTTCTTACAAAATGTTACTTTTACAGATTTCTAGCTCTGCACACTAGAAAAATCTAGAAATACAGTTTTGTATATCGTAATAATATTAGTCGTCGCCAGAGAGCTCTATAAAGTAGAGAAAAATGTATAAATTTGAAAACTATAAACATAAATTTAAATTTCTCAAAAAAATAAATAAACAAAATTTAAAAAGTTTTGCTGATTTGTCTGCGGTCTCCGCTATCTCCCTACGTCCCTCTAAAAGTCGCCACGGTTGGGAACACTGGTGAGCAGACATCTAGGGTCTAAATAAGGCAAAATGTAATCGCCAATAAAAAGGAGAAAAAATTTAAGATTTAAAACTATAATTTCTTGTGAACAGCATTTTGGGCCCCCTTTCCAAGTGGGTCCTGTGCGAATGCACCTGTTGCACCTGCCTAGTTACGGCTCTGTGTGCACCTTTTCCCTATTTTATTGTAGCTTGGTACGGTAAAACTAAAAATGGATTGGATGAAGTGGACGTATTTATTTATAAGTGNAAAAAAAATATCCAAATTTAGGAAGTGTCAGTCACCAAAATAAAAATGAACATAGTTATACAATGATGTCCCTTGTTCAGGATTTATCTTTTGGTGGACTGTCACAACCATCAAGAAGATTTCTTTAATTTAGTTAAAAAAATTGAATCAATTTTTACAAAAACTGTTAAACTGCATTTGAAATGTAAAACGGTTTCATCTATTACATCATTATTTAAACAGACAATTAACTTGCCAGAAGACATTATATACACATACGTAAAGCAACGTGTATGGATTAGATTGAAATTTTTGAATAATTTAATTAAACATGATCGTTTCACTGTGAAAAGAAAAGTAAATTGTAATAACAATAGAGAATTAAAAAAAGTTTGTACCTGATTTAATTAATTGTTTTTATGTAGCATTTAATTTGTACATATTGACATAAAAAATGTGTTTATAACATAAAAAATTGTTCTTTTGAAACTTAATTTGTACATATTGACATAAAAAATGTGTTTATAACATAAAAAATTGTTCTTTTGAAACTTAATTTGTATATATTAATATCAATAATATCGTTTTCGGTACACGAGTATTAAAAATTGAAAAATAGACCAATATTATTTTTAGTTCAAAAAAAAATATATAGTAGTTTGACGATAGAAATTAAATTAATTTACTTATATATAAATCACCTACGTAGGATTTACCAAAATTAATCGTTTTAAGAAACTATTGTTGTTATAAAATCATAAAATAGATAAAATAGATTTCATTTACAAAGTAGAAAAACTCATTTTAACTTCAACTTTACACGTAAAAATTACGAAGATTTGCTCAATATTCCGGATTTTTCTTATTTATAATCAATTTTTATTTTTATTTAATTAAGTAAGTATCGTAATTAATAAAATATTAGCGTGTAATTAAAGCTACGAGCCTCTGATCGGTAACGTTTCTACCATAAGGACATAGTAAGATGTTTCGTTTTCGACTACGAGTGACGTCAAATAAGCAACCAATGAGAAGCGTTTCTTCTCTATGAGGCAACCTGATAATAAGACCTTGGGTTTGATAGAACCTATGAGAGGCTTAGATACAAGGTCCACATAGCGGAAAGAATTAAATAAAATTTCTTAATTGCGAAAATATACAGTATTTTTTTTTATTCATGAGACTGAAGGATGAGGCATTGATTTCTTAAATCATTTTATAGTTTGTGACTTGAGTAGTACTCAGATGTCTTCTCAGCGAGGCAACCTGATAATAAGACCTTGGGTTTGATAGAACCTATGAGAGGCTTAGATACAAGGTCCACATAGCGGAAAGAATTAAATAAAATTTCTTAATTGCGAAAATATACAGTATTTTTTTTTTATTCAGAAATTGTTTCTACGAACTTTTTATTTTAATAATTAAAATTAAATAATTTACGATATTTCTAGCAGAATTATTAATAATAATTTGTAGTTCGAAATTAAATTTAAATATTTTTAATTATATCATTTTTTAAATTGATTTAAAAAAATTATCTGGCAACACGTTTGTGGCGCGCACTTTTTCTCAATTTAAAATGGCGAATACAGGAAGTATAATAGAAGAAACGGTTGACGTTTATACTCAGTTTCCTTACGAATTATTAGAAGACGATTGGGTTAAAGATCAGTGGGACAATGGATTTTTAAACAGTACTATTGAACTAGCATCAACAATCGACCACGACCAACTGGATAACTTGTTAAAAGAAGCCGTTAACTTATGCCATTCGTGGATTAAGCGTTCTGAATGTTCGGATCAGAATGAAAGCAGTGATTTAAATGTAACTCTGTGGTCTACCCTTTTAGATAATAATATACAGTGGAAAAAACTGCTTGCTCTTATTTGTATGTTAACGCAGAGATCGTCCTCGCATGGTTTTAATATTTCGGATAAAATCACCAGTTTAAATTCTTCTGGACTATATTTTGCTCTCTTAGCGATACCTGGTAGTAAAGCATTTAGAATTTATCATCCAAATCTATTTTCTTTGGCATTAACAGCTTTGCGCTTACCAAGAGCAAAAATATTTTGTAGAAAAAGAGGTGTTCCTAAAGGAAAAACTAATCCTTCGAAAAAATCAAAACAAGATAATTCAGATTCACAGTCTAAAGGACGCAGAAGAGAGAAAACAAATAATTTAGCCAATGAAGTTTTTATTCCCGAAGAATCCGACGATGGAAGTTCGGATAGGCAAAGTGATAAGTTAGAAAATGGTTTTGATGTCGAAGATGTTGATTATTTTGTTAACGTTCTTACTTCTGTCATGAAAGATTTTTTATATTTAATGGAAAATTTTTCGCTTAAAGACGATAAAAATTCTGTAGAACAAATAATTCAAATTATGGTGGAATTTGTTAGATTAGATACAGAAAATTCTGTGATTTTATTTGATCAGAGATTTGAAGATATGTACCATAAAAAGAAAAATGATTATCATGCAGTAACATTTTATGCTTATAAAGTTTTGCTAACGTTATGTAATCAATTGCATGGGGATGATATGCAAAATATTATCAGTATTTTTAAATATATAATGCCAAATATTTTAATGTCAGATGCTGGAGGTTTTCAAACAATTCCTCATAACATACAAATAGTGAAAGATCATTCTACATCATTTATTTGTTACATAATTAAACATTTTAAAGAAAATGCTATTAAAGGTGCTCGTATTCTTTTACAACAACTCTCTGTTCAAACAATAGATAAAGCTGAATTCAGGGCTAAAGTTTCTCAGGCAATTACTGTTGTTCTTAATTGTTTTCCATTGGAACCCTATGCTCAAATGGTAGAATGGTTTTTTAAATTAGTCAGACATGCAAAAGTTAACTATAGAGTATGTGCTTTGGAAATATTTTCACATTTACTTTCAGAACAGGAAAAAGAAATAACTGATGAGAGTTTACAATCTTTGAAATCTGTCCTATCTCATAAAAATATTATATATTCTATTCTTAGTAAATGTAATGATAAGGCACCATCTGTGAGAGCAAAAGCATTAACAATAGTAGCATCTCAGGCTCAAAAAATTGTGCATATATTAAATTCAAAAAATTTAATACAGAATGATCAAAATTATAATGCAGGTAAAGAGGATCTTATGGATGAACAAGATGACGCTTTTATGCAGCAAGAATATGATGTCAAATCTGTAATGGAAATGCTATTGAAAAGAGTAAAAGACACAAAAGTTAATGTAAGAAAAACTGCTATTCAGGTGATGGAAAAATTTCTGTGTTTGGATAAATCATCTGTTAATGAAAAATATTTGCAGGTAAGAAAGAATATATTATAATAATAATAATGACAATAATAATTAAAAATTGAATTTGTGTGCAAGTTGTATAATAAGCCTACATAGAAATATGTATTGATTTCATTTATGATATTTGGATAAATTTGCAGTTTTTCTATGAATAAACACAGCAAAAGATTTTTAGATGAAATCCTTAGTTTTTACTTTTCCAGATGTTATGCATTCATAACAAGGGAAAGTATGGGAATCATTTCAGATTTTCCCTTTGAGCTTTTTGCAAATGCCCATGTTTTAGATGTGTGAACCCAAAAATGGCAAAAACTTCCATGGGTGTGTGTGCCATTGTGTGTTTCGCTTAATTTCTCAGGACATAGTGAAGATAAAGAAACAAAATTTTGCATGGTATCTTGTATATAATAAGTCATTGATGCTATTAAATTTTGGTTGTGAAAAGCCAAGGGGATGGAGAGAAAGGGTGGTCATGTATTAACCACCGAAGTCATGTAGGGGAGAGTACCACCCACAGTCATTCTAAGAAGTGAACTCTGATCTTAGGACTGAACATGTAGTTTCTTCTATGTTAAATAAAATTTGTAATCAAATTTTGTAAATTTGGGAGTGCTTCAAATATGTCATTACAAGTGGGTTTTATGTGGGTTTTTTTTAACCTTATTTAGTATAGTAAAATCATAGGACCGATAAAAATTTGATGTTATATTAGGGTTGTTGTTACATTTGATAACATTATAATTGGGTTAAATTGTATATTGTTTGTGCAAAATAAAAAAATAATTTCGGATGATACAATAGCCACGATTATTTTTTTCAAAAATGGGAACTTTTCGTTATGCATCGACAAAAATTCAACCTGGGCCGACACACAATGGAGAGAAATTTTGAAATTAGATAGGTTAATTTCATTGACGATGCATCATGGACGATCTCGTGGTCGTGGCTGGCGAAGTTTGAACGATCGCGCCCAAAAGCAGCAATATCAAAGAAGATAGGAGAATGTGAACGAGACCTGCCTTGAGCATCAAAGTGATTCCATCTCCAAGACAGCCTTGTCCCAAATACAGTTTTGCCGTTTTACTTGTTTTTTCACTAAATTTATTTTCTTATGAAAATTTATAAATAATATTTTGAGTTATTTTTCACACAAGAAACAAAATTAATATGAATATGATTTTCTATTACATTCATTTTAAAATTGTTGTACCAGTACTTAAAAACAATGATTGAATTAAAATTTGAACTTTTTAATGCATATTTTACATGACTTGATTTACTTTTTGCAGGTAATACAGGAACATTGTCGTGATCCTGCAGTTCTTGTTCGTAAACAAGCTCTTCATTCTTTAACTATTATATTTGAAACATATAAAGATTCTGATGTTACCCAACAATTTTGGATGAAAGGTGTTTTATGCCAGCTATTTGATGCTGAAGCATCTATTCAGGAGAAATGTTTAGATATGATAGATTGTATTTTATTTCAAAATTTGACGTTAACTTCTAATAATGTACTTCAACATGAAGTTGCATGGAAAATTTTAAATTTTATTGCATATGGAAAATATCAAGATTTTCAGCGTTACTTGCAGAAGGCTATTCATTTATTGGTCAAAAAGGGAAAAATAAAGTAAGATTTTTAAAAAAACTATTGTCTGTATATTAAATTTAGTTTTTGCAATATACATATTACTGTGAATGACCGATATCTGGTGAATGTCAGCTTTCACACAGTCGTTTAGTGTATGTACAAAATATTTGCTAAATATCATTATTTCTCACTTACACCGGCAAATGTTGATATTCAGCATGCACTGATGGTGAATGTTGAATAAAAGTATTTTTATTACGTTAAGACAAAAATGCAACTTTTTAATATGTCAAAATAGGGGAAAGCTTAAGTAACAGCACATGTAAATAAACTGTTGAATCTAATATGAACAGTACATTCTAAATCATTAAAGAAAATAATACAATAATAAACTTACACATAAATTATGTGATTAACCTTATACAATCTTATTTATTGCAACAACTTAAACTGTTATGGCACTTTGAATTGCACAAAAGTCCCTTGGTTTTACAACTGCATTTATTCGTGGAACACTTCTTTTTGCAATGACAGCATGTATAGCCTTGCCCTCCACTTTTCGAATTAGCTGCAGCTGCTTCTCTCAGTGATATTTCTTGAGAAGATCTCTCATCTATAAAAAGTAACTTTTCTTTACAAATTACCAACTCTCAACGGGTATAAAGCTGCTTGAGGATACCATTTTTGTTTGTTAATTTATAAAAGTCGGCGTCTTCTATTCCGACAACAACTGCCAACACATTTTGGGCATCTGTACAGCCATGGTCGACATCAGGGACTTGTATTTGTACGGTATCATCAATTTGAACATAAGGAAACGGCGAAGAACTTGGTGACAGACTGTCCCCTCTCTGTTGACATCGGCTTCTCGGGTGTCGTTTCGACGTCCACCAAAGCTTATCTGTGCTTGTCGACATACACTGGTGATTATTTGAATGAATAATAATATAACCAAATATTCAGTCTTTCACCAACGTATTTTGTATGTGTTGGCATTCACCGGAGAATATCGACATTCTCTAATTTTGGTCTTTCACAGTAACATATATATTGCAAAAACTTATTTAACTTAAAAACAATAAGAATCATTGATTATATATATAATCAATGATTCTTATTACATGTAAAAATCATTTTAGTATTATATTATTATAAGTAATATGAAAAATTAAAGTTTTGTATTTATTTTAACAAAGTTTGAAATATTTAAAAAAATTTTCATAAATATATTTAAAAGTTGTGGTAGATTATATTGTATCATACTGACATATTGCACTGTTGTTTTATTTGGTAATAAATTTATAGAAAGTTAGTTTAGTAGATGAAGAAGTAAATCATTATAGTAAAAATGAAAACAAAATATTCTTTATATGATTTGTATGAGAGTGATTTAACTTTACCGAAATATTATAAGGAAAATCATCGTAACAAAAGACTATAAAATTTAGAACTGTTTTAAACATTATTATTGATAAAATGTTGTGTTGTTTTTTATTGAGGATATCAGATTAAAATTTATTGTAAAAAAATTTAATACTACTACTAATAAATAATTTATGAATATTTAGTAGTTAATATATTTGCATTAAATTGCTTTTAAATGAATGAAACTAAAGGTAATTTATAATATAAGAAATATCAAATTTTAGACCAGTTGGTCTTAAAAGATAGAAAAAAATTTATAGGCTACTGTCTTTAAAAGCTAGTTTTTAAACAAATAAATGTTTTCAGCTTTGTTTTAGCTTTTTTTCACAAAGAAAAATTAAGAGATATAAGATGGTGAAAAGACTGTTGTCTGCACGTTTCTGGAAGATGAGAGAATCTTTGAAAGAAAAAGTTATCCACAATTGCATTTAGAGAGTTCATAGCATCTCTCAAAGGAATTTTTAGCCAATCAATGACTGATTTTGATGTAGTCACTACCTGTGATGTAGCTCTTGGAAGCTTCTGGCAGAAAATACTTTTAAAATAATTTGATGACATATAAAATGAATCATGATTCAAAGATATTGAGCTATTTGGAATCAAAAGTACGAAACTTGTAGCTCTCAAAAGGATAAGTAATGAAAGGAAACCTGTATGAGTAACTGTAATCACCTAAGACTGAATCAGACATAAAAATCTGGCACACAAACTGGAAATATGTACTAAAACAACCACTTTGCACCTAAATACTAATTCCAGCAAATGAACAACAAAAAAAATTTTAATGTTCAAATGTTTTTGCTGTCTTTCAGAGGCCATCGTCAGGAAAAATTGCAGAGAATAGAAAAACAGTTCTATCTTTTAGACAGCTATGTTCGAAAACTGCTAAAAAGATAGAACTGTTTTCTATTCTCTGCAATTTTTCTTGACTGAATTTAATTTTTAGCAATAATATTTAAAAAAAATAAATAAAGTAATCTCTTAATGCACAGCAATTTGAAAATTTTTGGTATATTGAATTTTTAAAATTTTAATAACTATGTAAATTAGATATTTTTTCATGAAACTTGTTTATTTTACTAAATGTTGTGTGTTGTATTTGTTTATGTAATTATGTTTTATTTTCTAAATTGTTTTTATTATGGTTTTATGGGAGTATGTTTGTTTTGGGGAGCCCAAACAGCCATTTGGTGTTGCTGCCTATAAAATAAGTATTTTAAAAAAATGGAGAGACTTTCTTAACATTTAGACAAATTTTTAGAGATAGCATATGCATTTTAATATTACAAATATTAGAAAATATATGAGCTGTTGATTTTGAAAGTAGGGCAAGTCCATTTTATGTTATTGCTAGATATTTAATGGTTGCATTTGAATGAGTTTGAAAATACAGTAGAGCGTCGATTATCCAAGTCAATTGGGGACTGGGGTTGTTCGGAAGATTGATGTTTCGGATAACCGATTATGTACAAAAAAATATATTAATTTATCCCATCTTGACATTTTTCTCCATTGCATGTCGCTTTGCGTTGAATTTTCGTAGATGTTAAGCCTAACGAAGACTATTGTATCTAATATCATAAAGTACTCAGCAAATCACTATACATATAACTAACACCTTATTCTTGCCGAGAAATATAATTTATTTCAAACTATAACTTTCAAATTATGTTTGAAATAAATTATATTTCTCGGCAAGAATAAGGTGTTAGTTATATATATATGACTATTGTATCATTAAAAATTATTATTTTATTTTGTACGAACAAAATAAATATGTTGAAAAATATAAAAACAATAAAAAATTATACTTCAGAAGTTAATTTAGTATCAAAAACGTAAAATATTTGAGTAGCCCAAGACATAGCCAAAGATTGCAGCGCCACAGCACTGGCGAAAATTTAAATTTACCGACTGGAATTCTTTCGGATGATTGACTTTCAGATAATCAACGCTCTACTGTATTCGTAAGCAGTAATAGACTTATGTTTTTTTGGTCTTATTTCTTGTAAATTTAATATGCAATAATGGTTATCTGTGTTAGATGAAAAAAGTCATAGTTTTGATATGCACCAATGGACTTGCCTCACTTTCAAAAGCAATGATTTGTTGAAAGTGTTGATTTTCTTTGAATGGAATATAGTTATAATAACAAAAAATTGAATATTTTATTTATTTACTTATTTATTTTATTTCAAAATTTCATACTTCTTTCAAAAAGCTACTATAAAACAAAAAATAAATTTAATTTTATAGGAAAAAGTGGATAAAATAAGAAAAAAATATTCAGTAATAAGGTGTATGCATATAATTATATTTCTTAGTTTAGATGGTGCAGAGTTTTTAAAGTATTCATGATAAATGGCTAGTACTCTACATAGGAGTAATAAATCCATCATATCTTTATATTTTAGAGTGGACATGCCTCACTTTCAAAATCAACTCACAATAAATACAGGTATACCTCGAGTTACATCGTTCTCGATTATATGTCATTTGTCAAAAAAATATATGGAAAAATAAATGGGAACATTTTACATCATTTTACAATTTAACTTTATTTGTCTATATTTCTGCAGGTTTTTGTAACTGAATGAACTTCATTGATGATAGGTTTTTAATAGAAATTAAAAGATGATGTAAACAAAATAAATACAGGTAGCCCTTGGTTTATGCCAGTTCAATTTACGCCGATTCACAATAACGCTGCTGCACAATTCACCGTTTTGAGGTGTAATTCCCCAATTTTCCCTATGCCAGACTGATTTTCATTTCAGTGTTGACGTATTTACTGAGCCGCGACTTTGTACATTTCGTTAAAACAAAGATTTTTATTGAATATATTTATTTTTCTGTTTAATATTATTGGGTATGTATACATTTGCATTAAATTAATATTAATACACTAAATGTTTAGGTACCCACGAGTCAAGTTATCAAACTTAATAGTCCAATAAATGGTGTCTGAATCCATAGCGCCAATGAATGTATCCCAAATCAGTTCATTCAGGAAAACACCTTACAACGCAGCAGCACTTCCGGCGATCACAAACTATCATTAGTGAGACAAATCTACTTCTTGTTGGCCAGACAGTATCTCAGTCTCTATCTAAAAGTCTATATCTATCTCTCCTTAGCCACCTTCAATTTTCCCGCTCAAACTGACATTATATATGCGCTATGGCAGCCAGTGGTCGACCAATCAGTTGTCTCGTCTGTAGTTCTACGCCGGGTTAACTTATTCTTTCAACTATGGAGAGTTTGGCAGATGAACTTTGTTAGACAATGATTGGGAGCAAAGTGCAAATGTAAATAGGAGCATCATATTCAATCATATTCCAAAATTCTCACCGAAAGAAAACAGAAATGTAAACAATTAAAGATGGATCCTTTTTTCAGAAAAATGTACAAGATCTGAAACTAAAATTTTTTAATAACATTTCACTTTATTTTATGATAAAATATATTTTAAAAATTAAATTTATTTGTATTTTGTATTATATTGTATTAATATTCAGAATTATTTTCGTATTTTTCACTTATATAGAACCTAACCCTATACCTCAGTGTAAATATGGATTCATTTTACGCCAATTTGATTTGCGCCAGCTTTTGAAGGAACGGAACTGCAGCGTAAACCGAGGACTACTATATTAAGAAAAAAATAATTAAATGTCAAGATCTCGTTGAATATCCCATCCCTATTAGTTACAGTATTACAGTTGTAATTCTATGGAATCATGGTAGCAGAACCTTCAACTAGGTCCTTTATATCTTTACAAGGATTCAAAAATATTTATTTTTTTTATGGAAGGAAACTAGGGAAATTAAATCCTTAAAAGTATTATTATTTTTTAATAAAATTAGAAATTAAATTTAAAGTATTTAATTTGTCAATCTTTTTAATGTCAGTATGAAGTGATTTTTAAAGTAAAGACAAAACAATATTATCTTAAAATTATGTGTAGACTGTTTAGTATACATAACTTTTTAACAACTTTATGGCTTAACATTTTTCAAAAACATATTATTTATTGATTTCATTATAAAAATTTAAAACTATTAATATACTTTGCAATTTTGTAGTTTGATTTCTTTGTACTCATATGAGAATCTTATCGGTTTTCTATATGGGAATTTTCTGTGCATACTTTTAGTTTCTTGTGTACATGTGTACGAATGTGATTTTTTCTGTGTAATTTTTATATGTGCTTTTTTCATGTGTTTCATTAGTAATATATGTATTTAGATCATTTTATTAAAATATGATCATTTTTTATTTTTAATTAGACTATATGTTTTCTGAAGATATTATTTTTACCATTTCTTGCAAAATATGATTAACCTCAATTATATACTCTATGAAAACTTGTTTTAAAAGTTTCATATTTGTCATTATGTTAATGTGTTCTAATGTATTCTAATGTTTTTCTCATTTCATCTTTTTAGCACTTTTTATTTCTTATTGTTATGTGAGGTATGGAAATCTTTAGTCTGACTTTTCCTAATGTAACTGAAACAAATAAAAATAAATTAATTTAGTTTTTCAAATTTATAATTTCAGAGAGTCCATGGTAACTCATTTGAAATGTCATGTTGGAGGTTCTAATGATCCTGCTGTATGGTTACTTCTTGCATCATTTGCTCTTTATTTAGATTTTCATGACACAAATTTTATTTTAAATTATTGGGAAGAATGTAAAGAGAATAAGAAATCCATTTGTACTTCAACATTACAAAGAATAATAAAAGTAATTGGACATCTTGCTAATACATTTCATAAGGAAAAACTAGAAATAATTAAAGGTAATTTAATAAATTTGATGTGATAATTTAAACTTTAATAATAGTTTATAATTATTATTTAATAGATTGCATTTTAAATACAGAAGCCCCTTGTTATATCGGGTTTGTCAGGAGACAAAGAAAAAGTGTGACATATTCAGTGGTGTGATATAATTGAGTACTAAAAATTCTGGGCTTTTACTAAACAGATTATTCATGCGATGGAATCTCTATCTTCTATTCTTTCATCAGCATGTGTTTGATATAAAATAAGTTTAGTTTTTCAATACTGAATTTTATTCGTGGTTATATCATATTGACATTTAAATAAACATTGATACTATGAACACCCATTTAGCAGTATTGTTTATTTGACGATGACATTTAAAGACAAATACTGTTGATATAAAAATAAAATATCAGTTGCAATTTTATTATACAGTACTATATTTCATAATAAATCTCTTATATTATTATCTCTGTGCAATTTATATTTTTCAATAAAAATTATATAGTAATTGAAAATTTAAAAAGTAAAATATTGAACATGTACAGTAGAGCCTCAATTATCCGACCCCCGATTAACCGACACCTCTGTTAACTGACCGTCCTAGTCGGCAAATTTCAAATGTCCACTAGTGATGTGCACTACAATATTTGGCTATGTCTTGGCTACTTTAATATTATTTTTACGTGTTTTAGTTGACAACACTCATTCGACCATGAAAGGGAGCCAGTATTTAAACGAGGCTTAATTTTCTAATTTTTAACAATACAATAGCGACGATTATTGTTTTAAAAAATTTTTGTTAGGCTTAACACCGATGAAAATTCAACGCAAAGTAGGTTAATATTGATATACTAATTACGTGGGATATAATAATATACTACACTAATAATGGATTTTTTCATACTTTTCGGTTATCTGACTTTTCAATTATCCGACCAACCCCAGTCCCCAATTGAGTCAGATAATCAAGGCTCTACTGTAATAGAACATCAAAACTTATAAAATTACAAAAAGTAAAAATTCTCTAAAAAGCAAAGTTACTACTGTATAAAAATTTTAGAATTTTAAAAATAAAGAAAACTTTTCCTTACACATTACTATGTCAATTTGAAATTTCACACGTTATGTGAAATTTCGAATTGACAGAAAGTTGTAAATGAGGAGACAGTACTTAAAACTAATAAATAAACAAATTTTAATATTAAAAAAAAAACAAATGATAATTGATCTGTCCATCTATTTTGCTTATTTAGATTTTGACAAATTTATTGTTTACCTGCAATGGTAGTTTCAAGGACAATGGCAGGAATAAAATGCCGTATTTCATTGCAAAAAAGAAATTCAATGGAAATTGATATTTTAAAATTTATTAATTCAAGTGCTTTTAAAATTTGGGGACCCAAAAAAAAGCATGATATATCCAAATTCACAATATAGTGAGCGACTATTGTAATATAATTTTTAATGTTGCATGTTAATTTAAAAATAAATTACATATTTAAATGGAAATTCTCTAATTTAAATAATAATCCAAGTTTAAATCTTTTAACATTTATTTGTTATAGTGAATCTCTTAAAAATCTGATTGATAATAACTTAATTTATCATATTCAATATGTCATAATTTTTTACTTTTAACTTACTTGTTTAAAAGTTAATTTGAAAGCAACACACCTTTGGTATGTTGCTTTCAAATAGTCCTTTGGACTTTGGCAAGTCTAGACATATTTTACTCAAAGATAACTGTTAAAGATACCTTTTGAAAATAATCAAGGGTACTTGTTTGTTTCCTGTTGAGAAGATTTGATATATCTTCATCACTGAAGTTTCTAAGTTTAAAGCAAAGAAATATATTTTCATCAATATCATGATTGCTATTGTGCATTAAGTACTTTTGTGTTTTGTACTTGTTACCATAATCAATGTTTGTATCTGCACAGGAATACTGCATATGGACCACAGTGAATTATAGTGAACTTCAAAAACCGGTGTTCTATCATTTTACTTTAGATGCTATGCCAATTTCTGGGTCCCACAGTGGCTGCCAAGGTTATACAATGATGTGGATTATCTGTCAAGTTTAACTCGAAACTGTGAACTCATCAAACAACATTTCCTCTGTCTAAACATACCAAGGGTGACTAAAAACTTGAAAAATCTTTTCTGCACCACAGACATATCCATCTGTTTTCATGGTTTTTCTTGAAACTATCCAACAGTCCTTGGCCAAATTATTAGAACCACTAAAGAAATTGGTAAAATGACAATTTAGACAAAAATTAAAATTTTTAATTTGAATTTAATTTTTTGTACAACTCTATAGAGTAGTAAAACATTTCAATTGAAATGACACACAAAATAACAACATATAACAAAACATAAATGTAACGTAAAACATTATTTTGTTGCACTTATTTTTGTACTGATTACAGCTTTGATGCATTTAGGCAGATTCTCAATGAAACTCATGCACATTCTTTCAAATGTTGATTATGATTTTACTGAAAAATTAATTTCTCAATAAGAGTTTGTAACATTTTCTTTAGCTTTTGGAATGTGCAGAATAAAGAAAATGAATAGGAAAGAAGCATATGCCCAGTTCTTTCCCATTCATTTTCTGCACATTTGTGTATAAAAATGGGGCCATACGTATATGTACTGTACATACTATACCTGGCCAAATTATTACAACCAATGAGGAAATCAGAGTAAAATGACAATTTTGACAAAAATTTTGATTTTTAATTTGAATTTTATTTTTTGTACAACTCAATAGTACAACTACATCTTTTATCAAAAGTTTTAGATGGCTGTTAAAAAAGTCACTTAAAAGTTTTAATAAAAAAATTTTTAAGAAAATTTTATACTTAATTTTTAAAATATTTTACATATCTTTATTTTTAATTTGAGAATGGGAAGTCTTGTAATCAATAAGAAATTATACTGCTCAGACTGCTTTTATATTATAACTAGGAGGGCTTTACTCCCTGTTCTCTTTGCTTGCTTGCCCTATAGACTTTGCCCCTTATTTCCAGTGTAGAGAATTCATAACAAAAATTTAATTCGTCAGTTTGTGGTGTTGCCTTTTCTAGTTTTTGATAGGAAAAAAGTGTTGTGAGGATTTTAAGCTAAGTATTTTATATATACAGAGTAGGTTTGAAATGTAATTAAAAATAATAGAGTTTGATAATAGAAATTTACTGTGGAATTAGGAAATAGTTTCCCTGTAATAGTTTCAAATTAATGAAGTTTTAAAATGTAATTATTTTCATTTATAAAACAGATTTTAGTCAATTTTCCATTTTATAAAATTTAATCAATTCAGTCTTGTTAATAATTCTAATATAATTTTATTTGATGTTATTATTATAATTTTTTTATATATTAACTTTGATAACTGTGTTAATTCTCTATATTTTTTACAATTATTTTTCAGAGATCAACTCCTCTGACGCATTAAATATTTAAAATTTTTGTATTGTATTATTTATTGTAATAAAAAATTTTTATGCATAATGAGTCATAGTTTAGATTTGAAAATTACTAAATTATAACGAGCATAAAACTATTATTTAAACCCATAAACAAAATATTTTTGAAAAGTGCATTTTATTTGAAAAAAAAAATATTTCTAAATCTTATTCTGAAACAGTCAGAATATGTCATTAATGGGTTATTTAACAAATGTAAGAGTGTATAAAAATATTTGTGTTATCAATATTTTTATTATAAATTAATGAAATCTTTATTAAAATATTTTCTCATTTAGATATAACTTTTTTCCAGACGATCTTGAATTACAGATAAAAAAATTTCTATGTATACCAGAATTAATTGCTTCAAGTGTTGAAACATTATGTAATATTTACATTGCATTATATAGTCAGAGCACAGAAAATCAAAAAAAAATAAAATCATTCAGTAAGGAAGTTATTACAGTAAGTAAATTTATATAATTTTTGTATTATATTTGAATGTTAATATTATATATATCTTTGAGTTATGTCTTCAGATATGATATATTAGTTATGTATTTCATAATTTTGTGCAAATATAAACATCTAAAACCCAATAGTTATTTATTAAAATCAATCAATTGCTGGATTATATGGGCCTATATTATTGCTATTATTATTATTATTAATAATAATATTAGTAATTAGAAATTCACATTATTATTCAACAATAATGAAATGCAACACACTCACACTTTATTTCAAGATAAGGTAAGAGTGACAACACTGGAGAGAATTTGATTTTTCAGTGACAATAAGCATTACTTCTTCCAATAGACAGTGTGCTTACTATTAGAGGTCATCTATAATATTTTTCATCTTGCAACTGCACTGTTTATTAGAGGATGTTTACCGTTAAAGGATGCCATGCCATTTATTCAAATAAATGTGGTATTTTTACTTATTTATAATAATAAAATATTTGGAAAATTGCTAAATAATTTTATTTCTTATCAGACTTTATTTTTTTAATTACTAATTATTAAAGTTAAGATGATATATACAGAATGTCTATCTTGCATTTTTAACTTTTTTTGATTAATTTGAAGATGTCATATATTGGGTCAAGAACAATGAAGAAAATAATTAAAAAAACTTCTTTTACATTTATCATATATTTCATACTGCGTGTGCATATTTGGTTAAAGGTTGCATACACATGCACATTTCTTCAAATTATCAACTTTCAGAAATGCTTGGTAAATTTCTCAGAAATTTTATTACAAGATTACATTGCATGCCTTTAAAGTACTCAACTATATAGTTGCCCCAATTTGAAATGTTTGCAATACTCTATCTGGATATTGTAAACATTTCAATGTAGTAATGATTTTTCTTAATGCAGTGTTTGTGTCACTATAATTTATAAGTTAAAACTTAGATGAAAGCAGTGTCAAATAAAACTGCTTTAGCTACACATTCTTTCTCTACCAAATTTATTCATTTTCCTTAAAATGTTAACAAAAAAATTGAAAAACTTTTATATAGATTTTTTTATTAAGTAAAATAAATTTTTATCTTCCTTAAACATTCTAGATAAATATTTCATGTAGAGAGATTAATGTCTGATTATTCATTTTTTCTGTAGTCTCTGAAGTGATCATATTGATAGTTTTTATTTAAGCTATATTTGAAATAATAATTATTAAAATTACTTCATGAAAAATAACCATAATATAATGTGTGTTGATTTCAATATATAGAGATGTAGTCAACCTTTCATGTAGACTACTCTAGAGGGACAGTACCTTATTGCACTTATAAATAAAACAATTAACTCTTTCATATGTGTTGTAGATTCTACAGTGGTACCTCAGGATACAAACGCCCCTGCATACAAAATTTTCAGGATATGACATGAAATTCGAATATATTTTTGCTCCATGATACGAACAAAAACCCGCCATATGACGTTACGTTAGTTCGCAGTGCCATTTTTTTTATTCACTTCTGTTCATTGGTCTCAGTCCGCGTGTTTGCTTTGTCGTGGAAGGATCTCACACAATAAAGGAAATCTTGAGGTATTATCAGAAAGTGACTGATTTTATTGAAAAGAAACATCCCGAAAGGTTCACACTGGCCGTATTGCTACTCGGAGTAATGACATTTGCCTAAGTCATTTTAGANTATCTTATTACAAATTTCTATACTACATGTGAAAAAAACAATAAGATTGCTATCGTATATTTAAATATTAGTGGCAGAATGGAAGCACTGTATTGTCATCTTCCAAACAGCCAGATTATACTCATTTGCGCATGCGCTTTACAGAGCACCAACCTCACCTGGTTTAGCTGGTGGAAGCTACACATGTATAATGCTTCCAATGATTCTATCCAGGACCAGATCCAGGCCAAATATCTAGCTGCCTGCCTGCTAGGTATTTGGCCGCCTTCACCTGATTATGTGAATCATGAGTAGATTTATAACTTAACCCAACCGATAAGAATTTACTGGTATGTTTTTATGATAGTTCTGTTTAGTTGACAGGAGTTAAAAAAAACCATTAGAATATTTGATATTTTTATTCTTCTCTCCCATTTTATATTACTTATGGATTTCTATGTTAAACCAGTGATATTACTATTTTGTATGTCCATTTTAAAGGGGATGTAGAAAAAAACATGTACAATTCTTGTACAATGTTAAAAAATTAACTGTTACTTTGACAGCATCATTTACAACTAAATTTAATGAATGAGAGAGATGCACGATGTACAGAAAAAGCTCTAGAATTTATTTTCCTTACATTTACGATTTATATATCCATTTGTCATAAAAATTTGTTTTTTTACTTTTTTCCCAAGACTACAAATATTCGAGTACAAAGTAACTGGTTTTGACTTATTTCTATTTAAGAAGTAGTTAAATAATTAAGCGATTAGGGAATTAGGAACATAAATAAAATCCTGCTGAAAGAGCTGGAATTTTACTTAAACAAAAGCTTAACCGAACCATCTCTAGCCAAGTACAGTGGAGACTGATTTATTTGTATTATTAATGTAATAAAGACAGAAATTTTTCCAGTTCAATGAGAGTGACTGAAAAGGTGTAAATTTTGGAAATTTCTGAGGACACTTGGTCCTAAAACGAATTAGTTAGAAAACAAATGACTATTAAGTTAACAAATTTAGATTTTTACAGCTATGGTGAGAAACGTTTAAAATTTACAACAGCCCTGTTGTGTCCTTTGAGATATACTAGTGATGCGACAAAATAGGTATTGACATTGACCGGTATCAGCACCCTGGGGATTTTGCAGCCTGCGTGCATGCACCTACCAGGACCTTCTCTGATTCCATCCATTAGTCACTCGTAGGGAGCTATTTGACTAAGTGCATTGTTTTAAGATTTAAAAAGTAAAGAATATTTTATATTTTTATGTACCTTTCTTTACAAAGCTATATTTAATTATAATTTTCTTTAAAAGTATATTCATGCAATTGAAGAATATTTTGTACCAGGTATGTACCGGTACATCCACCACATATTTTATTTCACCAAGTAAGTTTTTATAATTTTATTTTTAATTGTAGCCCTTATTTTGTGGCTAGCGATTCGGAATGTAATTGTGATGTTAAAATATGCATTTAGAGAAGTCTATGGTTTTTACTGGCTTATCGAATAAATGATACAAATGGACCCTAGACATCACTGACGCGCAATTGACTGATTACTCCTGGCTGTCATCATCTTACAGAAACACAGATTCCCTATCATCAAATGTCACAGCATGCCACTGTTAACTACTCAATGTTTAACTGGAAAATTTGTTTTACGTATCAGATCACAATTTTGTTATTTGTTCTAATTATACGATTTTACATTCACTACCTTGTGTTTTACTGTTAATGGTTTATAAGGTATTGAACCCAATTTTGGCCCAATGTCTTGAACTCCACCTTTCTCTCCTCTGTCTTTCACATCCAATAAGCATCAATGGTCTCCTAGCAAACTTGTGTTAAAAATTCAGTGCTTGGACTCTTTTTCCTAAATCAGCCAGATCAATTCTTCTAAATCTTGTTTCTCAAAGAGAGTTTTGATATTATTTTATCAAAATTAGATGAATTATCAATGGAGTTTGACTGGTTGGCTAATTTGTGTAAGGAACACAAATACCATAAAACAATTATTAAGTCATTAACAGTAATTTAGCATAAAACAATTAACAGTTTTTATTTACAAATTTATTTTATGGTAGATGAAACTGCTGATGTTTATGGTTGATACATAGCAAATTTGTTAATAGGTATTTTACCTAATAAAACTATTAGCAAATTTTTTTTAATATGATATAAAAACAACTAGATAAAATTAGTCATGCTATATGTAGATTTATTCAAAAAAATTTGTCAAATTTCTTTTTATCAGAAGTAATTCCTTTTAATAAAATCATGCTCATGATCTCTGATGCTGCTAGCTATATTATTGAAGCTGGACAAAAGTTTAAAATATTTGATCCAAACTTAATTCATTGTACTGTACATATCTAGCCTGTGGACTAAACAGAATTTCAAAATAAATCAGTTTCTATTTGTAAATGAGTTAATAGGAAATATGTAAAAAGCTTTTATAAACATTTTTGTGAGTATAATTATATAAAGAAAGACTTCCTAATGTTTCTTTGCCATCAAAGCCAACACTTATTCATTAGAATACATAGATGCTAGTCTATTCAAAATATTTTACTGAGATAAAGATCATAATTTCTAATTTTGAGGAGAGTATCCCTTTAGCAATTACCAAATCAAAAATAATTTTATCTAAACCAATATTAAGACAACAATTGGCCAATATAAGTAGCAATTTTAACTTAGTTTCTGAGACTATTTTAAAATTAGAAAAGCAGTCCATTCTATTGGAAGAATCTATAGTGAAAAGTGGTAGAAAATTTATTGAAACATGTAAAAGCAGTCATAGGTACTATTGGTTATATTATATCAATGAAAGCTGATGAAGTTATTGAAAAAAGTTTTAAACACTTAACACAAGTAACAAAAATTTTATCTGGTGAATTTTTTGATAACTGGATATTGCTCCTGAAGCTATAAGCTGTTTAAAAATGTCCTTATTATTTTGGTGGACTTTTTCTTTATATAAAAGCATTCTAATTGACTGAAGACAATCAATTAAGATAGATATTATTGGAAAACATTTAATTATAGCTTATCTATCTGATTCTATTTTCTATTATATGTTAAAAAATTTATGTAAACAATAATTTTTATATATGTAATTTTCATTAATTTAAATAAAAATATATAAAATTATGTTAACTATAATTATGTCAATTATATTTAGCCTCTGTTAGTGGAAATTTTGAGGAAAATGTTTGCATGTAGCTTCATATTTCATTAGTATTGATGTATGATAATGACATTATTATAAGACATGTATCTGAATATTTTGGAAAAAATTTCAGTTATAAATTGAGCTTTACTAATTATTGGTTTAAAATTTTTTTCAGGATTGTGATACATATTTATCTAGTGTAATTTTAGAGAAGTTGGATGATATAAATTCTTATACTGAAGAACAAATAATAAAAAGACTGTTTACCTTAGGTGAATTAGCACAGCTCTCTCCCAATAGCATACCATCACGTTTATTTTTAATAATTCAAAGTGTTGTTGCTTCTGGTTTCAATGATGATATAGGTAAGAATATTTCCATATTTATTTAAATAGTTTTTGAAAATTTATTTATTGAAATTATAGGATAAATTAAAATGGTAAACATTAGTTTTAAAATTAATTTTACAATAAAAGCATGTTAAAAATAATCTATTAACATCAGGTATAATAAAATTTTATTGGCTTATATTTTAAACATGTAAAAGCATTGTTTAAACCATTTATTATAAAAAATATGTAAAAACATTCCAATGATAAATAATAGAATGTAAAATACTAGAAAAATTACAGAAATTGAAGACTAAATATAAAAACATTTTGAAGTTTATTTGCAACTGTCAGAACCAATCTACACTAACAGAATTGACATTTCTTTAGAGGCTCTACAATTTTTCTAATACACATTATCCTGAATTTTTAATTTTACAAAGGAAAACTTTTACCATGGTGGAATAAAACAGGGTGTTCCAATGCATATACTTCATGACATTATGAACAAACAGAGGGACAACAATTGCTAACAAATAATCTTTAGATGATGTTTTTTAAACTTAATTTTAAACATTTCTTTAAATATTTGAAAATATTTTTGCTATTTTAAAATATTTAATAAACATTTTAACAAAACATGCTTTTTTTTAATTACATCCAACATTGCTTTTTAAAAATATTTATTTAAAAAAAAAACATCTTAATCACACACAATTTTTTACATAGGAAATCAAGAACAAATGCAAATGAAAAGTAATAGACAATTAAAAAGAATACATAAAAAAACAATTTTTAAAATGGTTTTCTTTGATTAACATTATATTAAAAAATACTAAGTATTTATAAATTTTATCATTTTTCTTTTGTTTTGTTTTTCTTTGTATGTTAATTTCACTGATCTTCATATTAAGGTCATGTACATGTATTATTGTATGTATTTTAATTATATATTTTATTACCTTTTTGGGTGAAGCACAATTTTGTTGCATCTGAACACTCTAAAAACTTTGTTTCTTATTTTATAATCTTTTTTAATATTGGACTGATGAAAATTTTCAAATATTGAATTAATAAGAATCACTGACTTTATTAAGGAATCTGATGGGTACATGAGATTCCACATAGAAATCATAAATAGCCAATCTGTTGTATCTTAAAGCTTCTTTCATGCTGTCACCAATAATTTCAGATTCAAATTTATGAAGTAACTGTGAATATTCCAAATTGTCTTATAAGTTGTTAAATCACATTCAATTATTGGCTCTTTGAATTGTGTATTTAACCAATCTTTTCCTACAGATTCCTCAGAATTTGAAATTGAAAGGTCACCACTATCAGCATCCAATTTGCCAAATATTTGAAAACTTAAAATACTGTCTTCCCCAACATTATCTAATTGGCTGAGACAATTGTCATTTGCTCCTTCCATTCTCCTTATAGCTGAGAAAAAATTCTCCATAATATCTAGATTCAGGCAGGCTGTTAATATATAATCAATATTATATATTTCTCTCAAATGACAAAATAAACCTTTCACCAAGTCATTTGTAAGTAAAATGCCTTTTTGAAAGTGGAGGAGGGATGTATGTTTGCCCACTTTTATACAATGAATGATCATTGACATATTATTTATAATTTGCACCTGGTTATCATAATCCATGCCAAAAGCATTTTCTTTTGGATTTGGGTAATACTTCATGCTAGAATTAAGGACATCAAACCAGTCATTTATATTTTCAATTATAAATGAGTCAGTAAAAGCAACATTCTAATTTAATATGGTTTTAATTCTAAATATTTGACAGCTTTTGTAGTTATGTTAGAAAATAATTGAGATGTGGGATGAATTTTTTTGTCTGAGTGCTTTGATCTTTTAACTGACTACATGTTAATTTATGAGAAATCTTCATGTCAGATAATGAATTTGTGAGAATTTGTTTGATGCATTTTCTATCTATTAAAGTGTGTTTATACCAAAAGTCATGATTCAAGAAATGGTTCTTTGCCAACTTAAGGAGGTGTGGTACATCACCAAAAAAGTAAACTTTTCATAAATCATAAGGATGGTTAATGAATACGGTGCCATCTGGGTTTGGTCCAATATTTAGGGCCTTCCACAGTTGGAGATTTTTTGGTCCCAGATCACAGGTGACAGCAACTGCAGAAAACCTATTGAAAATAACTTTTCAATAATAATTATTAAAAGTTCTTTAGTCATAATTGAATCAAAATTGTAGTAAATAAGTTGCTTTCACTTCCCACATAGGCATTGACCTTGACACTCAACCAAGACTTATGGAGCCCCATACCTTTTCTTTAGAAAAATCTATTATCTATCAAAAGAAATTATAACTAATCTGTCAATATCATTTAATAAATGTTGTTGGTATGACATTAAAAGAAACGCTTCATCTAAGAAACCAGATTCAAGATTAAGTTTTGCCACCCATCTGCATAATGTGGAAATACAAGATAAAGGAAAGTTAAGTTTGTCTTTCCAGAATCTGTAAGCCTTTGAACTGATGCATCTTAATGTTATAACGTGTGCAATGTTTTCACATGACCATTGTTTGCTTTTTCTATTATTCATTAGACAGTAAATCTGGCCAGGGGTACAAGTTATTGTTAATGAATTTTTTAATGTTTGCAGTTGCTTTTTCAGAAAGGCAACTTTAATCTCCAGGGCTTTGTTGTTGTTGATCTTTAAAGATTCATTTTCTTTCTTTAAAGACTTTATTTTCATCTTTAGAATTAACATATGCTTGTCTTGTTGGATGTCTTTTTCAATGTTCTCAAATGATTTTATGTCTTGGTAAATCTAAATAAAGAATTGGTTTGTTTGGCTATTTTGTTATTATTAGATGATGGTTTGCTACAAGTTGCTGTCTCCAACCTAAAAAGTAAAAATTGGTAGCTATAACATTTTTTTCCATTGTAAAGGTATTATTGATATCATTACAATAAAAAAGATAATAATTATGTTCCTTTTCAACATCTCATCAACAGAAAAGCTGTTCATTCGTTTTTTAGCTCTCATATCATGTTTTGTTTCCTAGTTTAATTCTTCTTTATCTGTGTTCAAATTCAATGTAGGAACTAATTGTGATTTAAGACGAAGTGATGCATTCATCATTTCAATTTGTAGCCAATTTTCATTATCACCTGGTTGAAAATTCTTTCAAAAGATAGCAGCTATGAAAAATAAAAAATTAACATTTAAAATAGATCATATGAATTAATAAGGTTGAAGCAGCTTAACCTCAAAAATAACTAACTGAATTAAAAAATAAATAAATATAAAGTAGCTTAACTAGTAAAAATGCTAATATTTAATATAAATTTAGGAAACATTAATCTTTTAAAATTATTTTTATTAACCATAAATCACTGCTATTAAATATCAGTTTGTGACCACAGGGTTGGCACCATGTCAGGATGACACCACTATGTCTTAAGTGCCATAGAAATCACAATAGTGATAGGATTCTCGCACAAGCTGTCATGTCTGTAGGCGGTTGGATCCGGGAAGGAGGCGACATAAGAGACAGTGCGTTTTAAGGAAGTGCACCAAACACAATTTTAGCATTTTTTAAAAATATTTTATAAGGCTAGTATATTGTATTAAAGGCTTAATATATTATATTAACTATCCTCACAAGTCCCAGTCTTGAGAGAGAGTTTACATAAATTTGCAGGTAGATAAATACATTGTAGAGGATCTGAGGATGCACTACAAGGATGCCTCTATCTTATCTTTCCAGCACAGCTTTGGTCTTCCTCTCTTCCTCCTTCCTTCCATTACCAGTTTTCTGACCCTCTTTCCAACATAATCTTCACTATTTCGCTCTGTGGCCAAACCACCTCAACCTGCATTCTTGCATCTTCCTGCTCAAGGGATCCACCTTAACAGAACCTCTAATAAACTCGTTCCTTATTCTATCCTTCCTTGACACTCCACACATCCATCTCAACATTCTCATCTCCGCCACCTTCATCTTTCTTTCTTGGGCTCTTGTGATTGCCCATGTCTCAGCCCCATACAACATTGCAGGTCTAACAACCTATTTGTGCAATTTACCTTTCAGTTTGCAGCTAACTTTCTTGTCACATAACACACCACTCAACTTCCTCCAGTTCAACCATCCATATTGAATTCTATGTTGCACTTCTTAAGTTCAGCCCTCCCCCATCTCAACAAAGGCCCCTAGATACTTAAAACTCTGAACCACAGGAAGAGGCACATTTTGGATTTTAATATAGCACTCATCCTTGCCACTCAGAATCATATAAGCTGTTTTAGCTGCTAATCCTAAGCTGTATAAGCTGCTAATCCTCATGCCCCTTTCTTCCAAAATTTTCCTCCACTCTTCCAGTTTCTTCTCAGCCTTGGTTTGGGAAGGTTCACACAGAACAATGTCATCTGCAAACAACATACTCCATGGAGCACCACATTTCATATTACAAATCAATGCGTCCTTTATCAGGTCGAACTGATAAGGGCTAAGGGCCACTCACTGATGTAAACCAATGTTAATGGAGAACCCTTCTGTAGTGACCACGCTTCTCTTAACTTGAGTCTCTGCTCCCTATTACATTTCCTTGATGAGACTAACATACTTTTCTGGAACATTATTTTTCCTCAAATATCTCCATATCTCTTTGCCTTGGTACCCTATCATATGCCTTTTCCAGATCTATGAACACTATTTCCTGCATTTCCCTGTGCCTTTCCATCAGCCGTTTCAATGCAAAGATAGCATCACTCGTACCTCTTTCCGGCATAAAGCCAAACTGTTCCTCACCAATCTCAGATTTCTGTCTAATCCTTATTTTGACAAATTTCTCCCAAATTTTCATAGTATGGGACAATAACTTTATATCTCTGTAGTTTCCACAATCCTATACATCCCCTTTACTTTTAAAGATCAGTAAAATAATGCTCTTTCTCCATTCATCTGGGATCTTCTCCTGCTGCCAGAGTTTCTTCGTAAGGTCCCAGATGATATCAATCTCCTCCTTACCTAAACCTCTCC